AACTCACTGCGATCCTCCTGCCTCGGCCTCCAGAGTGCTGGGACCACAGGCGTGTGCCACCACGCCCGGCGGGAGTTACTATTTTGGGTTTTGTGTTGCTTTGGTTTGTTTGAATCAGGGTATCCTCACAAAGCCCAGTCTGGTCACACAATCTTGTGATCCTGCTGTTTCTGCCTGCCAAATACTGAGATTATAGGTGTGCTCCAACCACACCTTGCTGGACGTCATGGGTTTATTTTTCTTGAGGGGGGTTGTTGAGGCAGGGTCTCTACTATGTAGTTGAGACTGACCTGGAACTCACCATGTAGCCCAGGCTGGTCTTGAACTCACAGTGATCCTCCTGCCTCAGCCTCCACAGTGCCAGGATTACAGGCGTGCGCCACCACGCCTGGCATTTACTTCATTTCTTTAACACTGTCACTGCTTAAGAATTATTGCTCCCTTGAACTTTTTCATTTTGTAGCCATTATGCAAGCATATAGGAAGCAATTAAATACTTATAGTGTATGAAATATATCTGATCTTGTGCATATACTATGATAGAACAACTTTGGTTTTCTTGTTTTGGTTTTTTGAGACAGGGTCTCACTATGTAGTTGAGTCTGACCTGGAACTCACTATGTAGCCCAGGCTGGTCTCGAACTCCCAGCATCCTCCTGCCTCAACCTCCTGAGTGCTGGAGTTACAGGCGTGCACCACCATGCCTGGTTTGGAAGTTATGGTTTAATGGGTGCAGATTTAGTATGAAAAAACGGGAAAGTTTCTAGAGGTGAATAGTGGTGATAATTACACCACTTTGTACCAGTCCCGACCTAGGAACATTTGAGTTGTGAACTTTCACAGATATGAACAGACCTCAACTTACAAACATTTGTAGATGGGAACAAATCTCAGAAGTAGCTCGTGTGTCTGCCTGATGTTTTCATGGTTGCGCTGCTGTGTGCTTATGCACACTGTGAGCAGTGCTCAATCTGAGCCCAGGTGGTCTGGAAGCAAGAGGAAAAGCAGTGGAGATGTGGAGGGGACAGCTAGAAAGCACAAAGCAAAATACGTTGTCTATTTGTGTCAAAGGTGTGCAAGACTTCCTTTGCCAGACTTAAGAATGTTCTCCCAGATCGGAGCTTGTTCGTTAAGTCGGGGACTTCCTGTAATTAATTTTTAAAATGTGAAGGTGAGGTAACTACAGAAGAATGAATTTTCTTATTAGGCTAAACTCTAGATGAACCTTCATGAGATTATTCTACATAAAATAATCGAGACCCAAAAAACACTTTTTCCAATGCGGTCCTGAGAATTGAACCCAGGGACTGGGCCTTGGTAGGCAAGTACTGTACATCCCCAGCTCGGAAAGCAAATACGGTTCCGTTTACATGAGGTACCTGGGACAGTCAAGTTCATAGAAATCGTACAATAAACATTACTAGAGGCTGGGAAAGAGGAAGAGGGAGTCATTGTTTAATGAATATAACATTTGGGATGATGAAAAAGTTCCAAAAACTCCCTAAATAACTAGAGAAACATGCATAGTAGTGATGAATATGCAACCATGGTAAATGAACTTAACTCTACTGAATTAGATGGCTAAAAAGGTCGATTTATGTTATATATATATTGTATTACAGTAACAAATTAAAAACTGAATCATTGCCTGTTTAAAACAAAAACAATTAGAAGATAATAAATGTTGAGTTTATAACATGAAGAAGTATGCAAATGCCACAAAGGCAGAGGTAAAAAATGTAGAAAATTGCGGTAAGATTCATATACTGTACATGAACTGTATAATACTACGTGGAGGTAGTGATATATATAATATATAATATATAATATATAATACACATTACAAAATAAAACCTAAAACAAGCTAGCCTCAGTGGCATGTCTCTAATCTCAACCACTCAAGATGCTGAGGCAGGAGGATTGCAAGTTTGAGTCTCACCTAGGCAATTTAGCAAGGTTTTGTCAAAATATAAAGGAATTCTGCCTGGGCATGGTGGCATAGGTCTGTAATTCCCAAACTATGTGAGTCTCTCTCTCTCTCTCTCTCTCTC